ATAAACATTTATTAGATGCTTGCTTTGTGAGATATAGAGTAATTCTATTTGGCTTATCTATAGAAATTTAAAAATAAAACTCACTTAGATGGATATATTTTAACCACCTTTAACCAAAACATTTTCTGAAGATATTGAACAAGGGATTTGACCAAGTACTTCTTTTGTTAAGCCCAGAGATACTTGGGACATTTTTCTTTCAAACTGTATTTGATTCTCTAATTCTAAACCTTGTTCATGTAATAGGTCTTGACAACCCTCAACACACTGGTATCCTATTGAGTCTCTGCTTAACCCATTCATAGGTAAATATTCCTTAAAGGCTAAGGCAGTCCTACTCATATGGAAGTTTTATTCTGCTAACATTAAATATTGTTGTGATTTTATTTACTAGAAATGGAAGTCCTTTGCCAATAGAAATGCAGAGGCAATTACAGCCATATTAGTTCTCAAAAAAAAAAAAAAGTTGTGCCAATGAATAAAGACTGAATCCATTCTCTGCTCTCAGAACTAAATACATATTTGTTTGAAGATGGAATAGAGTAATTTTAGAATAGCAGAACATTAAAGAAGAAGAAAACATTAGCTAGTGCTATCTGAAATGTACCAAACTTTTAAATGGGTACTAAATGCTGTCACAGGTATATCAATTTATTATATTTGATATTTTGTTAAGTAAGCTGCAGAAGTCAAAATTAGGGCAGCTTTTATAAAAACCTTTATGTTCCTCTGAACAATGTGGCATCAGAGAATAATACTGGCCTGTATGATATTGCCTCAAGCATAAAAGCAGAGGTCTATTAGAAATCTAAGTCCATTCAGCTAAAATAGGTAAAAATAGGGCTAAAAAAAGGGTAAATAAACAGAAAAAGAACAATCTTTCTACTTCCTTAAATTACAAATTCCCTGAAAGCAGAGACTTCTTAGGTATTGTTTATTATAATAACAATGGCTAGCATTTGTACAGAGCTTTGAAGTTTACAAAATGCTTTACATATGTTATACTGCTTGATATGTACAACAGCTCTGAGAAGTAGGTCCCATTATTGTTACCCCATTTTACAGATGAGGCAACTAAAGCTGAGATAAGTTACTTGCCCAGGTCATACAACTGGTAAGTGGATGAAGCAAGATTTGAACTCAGGTCCTTCCTGACTCCAAGTAATTTGATTACAGAACAGTCTGGGCCAAAAACAAATCCACTGTAGAACAAATTGGTTGACTCACTACAAGGATGTACTTAGCTTCTGGTGGCTTAATATTAGAATTATCAGCACTATACCCCTGGTATTTTATTCTCACTGTTTCTTACCTGACCTTTCACAGTACAATTAAAGGACTCACAACATGGGAAAAAAAAGTGATTTGTAGGTCAAATCAGGATTTGTTCAAAGGACAGCAGACTAACCTATTTTACTTTTGATACTATTGGTCACTTACTATATTTTTATTGTTTAACAATGCTCCAGGTGCTATAAAGGTGGCAATTAGATGGTACAGTATATTGGTGCTGGACTTGAGGTCAGGAAGGGCCCGAGTTCAAATCCTATTTCATCTACTTACCACCTATGTGACTCTGGACAAGTCATTTAGCTGGGTACTCTGTGTACATTTGGAGTTCAATAAATGTTTGTTTAATTGAAGTAACTTTGTGGGTTTTCTTGAAATTTCTTCTCTCATTTTCAACAGAGAAATTCTCATGACTTTAAAATTTAGGAATTTCTTGCTCTGGAAAGTGGGGAATGTTACATTTTGTTTTACAGAGAAAAAAAATCCACCTTCATAAAATAACATCCCTATTTTGTGGCCTTATAGAGTATTATTGCTAGATCCTTTTAAAAACTATGTTGAGTTTTCACCGTGACAAGCATACACAGATTTACTTTTGTTCTTTGTACCCACAGATCAGAGGAAATTAAGTTGAAGGTCTGATATAAGCCACCCTGATATAAACAATACTTTATAGACCTCTAAGTGTTGAGCTTAGATGATTTTCACAAGTTTGCCTGGTAAATTAGTGTCATGAATGGATTTTAAACCCATTGCTCTAAATATCCTTAAAGTTCAAATTTACACATAAATATTACAAAAATGGAGCATGTAACATAGATCAAAAAATTCATCACCCTAAAGCCAAGCTGGTAATAGGCCTCTTCAAAATTAACTTAGGTAGGTCCTTAGACAACATATATACACACAGGCCATCTCCAAGTTTAAACTCAAAGACTTTCCAGCTTGGCAGGAACTGTCAGAGATTCTGCTCCAAGGGCATAGCTGTTTAGAATGCAAGGTTACCTTTATGCCATAGTAAACTATAAAAGGCATCACATCAACTTTGAATTATTTTAGCTTTCTAATCATCCACTGCTTTGTCAATTCAGAAAAACAACATAGCTCAGCGAGACAATCAAACCACTGGCCACTTCCTCTCACCAGTCTTAGTTTTGTCATTTATTTGTTGGGTAAGCTTAGACCAGTCACAACTTCTTGGCATATCTTATCAGCAAAATATAGATAATGGCACTAATTCTCAGGGTTAATAGAAAGGCTTTTTTCTTTAGTATACTAGTACTGAAATAATTTCAGTTCATGTATCAGGAACTACAGACACATTTTATTAGCTAATGTAATCAAGAGAAACATTTCCAGAGGTGAAGGACCAAGATACCTAATTATGTATGTGGAAAATGGCTAAAATTTCTCAAAACAGCTGATAATGATTAAAGTATAAAAACTGAAAATATTAGTCATATTTAAAGTATTACAGTGTGTATGCTGATAGATTGTGTGTGAGTGTGTGTGAAATCTATGGGGCAATGGTCACAAGGCTTTGAGTTCCATGTATAACAGAGACTAAGTAAAGATACTCCTGCCAATAATACTAAAATGTGAAAAAAGCAGACAAAAACATGTACAAATCTCACTGATAAAGTATTTGTGGGGGTGAGAGAGTGTGTAAAGGGTATATTCAGGATGTTTTTGAGTTGGGAAAATACAATAACCAAATTCTTTGTAAATGACTGTATTATGGTGTCCCTGATATGAAATAATCTCTCCATCTAGTATGATATCCTATGAACTAAAGAGGCTAGAATTTTTCTGTGAAACTAGATTTTTCACACTTTTAAGGGAGAAATATGAAAACACTTCTAAGAATTTAAAATATCAAGTTATGTCTACCACTTTTAGTCCCAGAATCTTTGTTTACTTTATAAACATTAATGTATCATCTTTGTAAGGTGTTAGTTTTGTTCAGGCAGCAGAGGTTAAGTGACTTCCCCAAGGCCTTAAAACGAAGCAGCACTGGGGCTGACTTTATGGTTAATCCTGTTCTCAGACTACAAGGTCATGCCATTGTCCCGTGAAGGTAGTAGTAGCACAACACATTATAACTTTCCATCAGCTTGTATAATTGCTACCTGAAAAAAAAACAAACCTGTTTAAACAAATTCTTACAAAAGCTAGAGCATACATATGCCAATTGAAAGTTGCCATGCCCAGGGTTTAGGATGGTGAGCTAAACATGGAAAAATTATCAACTCTTTAGTTTTCCAAAGTTTTCCATTAGTCACCTGAATATTTCTTTCTTCTTATCTACTGATTTATCTTTATCACAACTTTGGAGGGGAAAGAGTTATAAGAAGGACAAGGTTTAAGACACAGATCTGACTGACATTTCTTTATAGCTTTAATAGTATAAGGATGGAGATCCTTAAGTTGAAAAAGCTGGGTAACCAAAAAGGATTTAACATTTAAGACTGTCAATGCTATTGCTCTTACAATGAGTAACAGAGGATCAAGAAGATTCCATGTCACTAAGAAAATGATGGAAACTAAAAAGACAAACAAAAAACTAAAAAAAAACTTGACCATACCTAACTTTCCTCCTTACCATTGGTTTAGAAAGACTGACTTCTCTGAAATCATCCTGTTGTTTTCATTTTTCTATAGCTTTTAAGACCTGAGGTAGAGGCACGATGAGAAAGGCAAATAAAGAACACACATAGGGATTCTCTTATAATAAAATCAACTTAGGCAATATAACATATGTATACATATATGTCTGTACATACTTGTAGGTTTACAAATGTACTTAAAAAGTTTAATTCCTTTTACAATTCTTTTGATCCCAGAATTCACCAACAGGTCAATGATTGGAAAAAAAAAATTATAGTGCCTACATGAAGTGTTACCCCACTGTTAAAACTTTAAGATCTTTAACCTTAGCTTGTAAAGAAAGAGTGACTAAGGAGGAGCAAATCATCTTCTTGGAGACATAAACCATAAACAAAATAATGTCAAAAATATTTATGTCTGCTAGAACCATGTTTTCTTTTGGTTCCCTGGGCCTGTGTTTAACAGAGTACTTAATAGATACCCATTAGCATAAGAATAACAGAAGACACATTCATTGTAATGGATTCTTTTCATGTTTTAGAAAAACAGTAATTTTGAAATCTCTATATATCAAATGAAAACTAAGAAAATGTTTCCTTCACCATACTAATACAAATAACTCAGTGAGTTTGTATAATTTACTTCTAAGAAACTAGAAATGAAGGTGTTAAACTCTTGCTACATGCAGCAGATTATGGTATTCTTAATGGCACTTTGCTATAAGTTAATTAAAAAAATATTAAACTTAATTTGCATTTTCACTGAAACTGATTTCCAAGTCTCATCAACCAAAATAATAAGAGCAATATTTGAGTCTTAGGAAAAAGACAAATAGATCCTTCTTCGTATGAATCACCTTTTTGGCTTTGAAGATAATATGTGGGATGATATCTGCCAATTTATATTTGTTAAATATTCATTTTCAGAAATAACCAGGTTTCACATTTATAGTTTTCTTTAATTATTCTTATTTTCACTTATTTCACTAAGTCTAACCATAATGCAGAAATACAATTTTAAAAACAAAGCACATTTTTCTTTGAAACTGAAAAATATTGTAACATATAAGGAGAAAAAAATGGTATAAAAATGGACTGTCATACCTGACATACTCTGACAGCTTGGTCCAATACTGTTTTAGTGTCAGTGCCATAGTCTGGGCATGGTAACATGGCTCGGCTAAAATGAGCTTGCAGCAGGAGATGTGATTTTGTGTGGGAATTGTCAAATGAATGAGGATTTACTTCGATGGGGAGATTCCTTGCCAGTTCGCTGTTCATCTGATCTTCATTGTGCCTTACTGGCAGATCTGCATACTCTTCAGCATCCTTAAAAACAAAATGGGAAAATTACATACATACACACGTCTATATTTTTATATTCACATATATGTATCTCTAAGAATAATCAAATAATTGCTGTGCTTTTGATTGTACATCGAAAAAACCTGTGGAAATCAGACCTACTGCCATATTTCTTAGACTTTTGCTTACTTAAAACAACCATTTTCAATGTTAACATGGGCAGTAGTGATATGTAGTCTTTTGGATGAGTGTGTGTGTGTGTGTGTGTGTGTGTGTATTACTAGGTAGCATATAGCTTTAAGCTTATTTTATTCTAAATTAATTAGATTAGGGAAGGACATTTGGAGTCATCCATAATTTGGGAATTTCCTTGGTTTCATCCTTCCACCTTTAAAGTCATACTCAGTAAGGCAAAACTCTACCAATCTGATAATCTGGGCAAACTTTTTTGAGGTTTGTTAAACTGAGCTGAATGATATTACCCCATATGAATTATATGAGTACTGAGAAACTGAGATAGCAGAAACACAGAATGGGCCTATTTCACAAATTTAAATCCACTCTGGTGAGGAAGCTGTACCACAGAGTATCTAACAAATACTAACAAATACCCTGTGTGAATGACGGTGGATTTGAGGGGTCACTGGTCTTCCTGCTACTACATAACCTTTTCCTAACTCAACTGCCATGAAATCATCTTCAGCCAGTTGGTGAAGTCCACGGACCATTTCTTAGAATAATGTTTTTAAATACATGCAATAAAATGTATAGCATTAAAAAGGAAACCAAAAGTTAGTGAAAATAAAGATGTGTTTTTTTTTTCCCATCCAAGTTCACAAATACCCTGAAATCTATCTACAGATCCCTGGATAAGAACTCTTGGTCTAGAGGATATTTCCCCCTGGTAATTAGCTAACTACAGGAATCAGAAAATTTATGTTATAAAAATATAGTTTACTGTTTCATTAACAAAAGTGTGTTATGTTCCTGAGAAATATGTAGGTTTCTTCCTCTTAAATATATATGTATATGTATATTTTAGTTCTAGCTATTAGTGTTGTGTGAATATGGAATCTTACTTTTCAAAAAGCAATTATTTGAGATACACCCCATTGCCCTTGATAACTGAGCTATTCTTTACACATAGTTTTAACTAAATCAATCATTTGTTCTACAATTATCCCCTTTTCCGTGACTTGTTTGATTCTTGTTGACTCTTGGATGTGAAGGAAGTTACTGATGGCACCCCTTAGAGGTTTCATTATATGATATTCAGCACTCTGTAGTATTTAGTACATTCCCTTCCCCACTCTTCATTTTCTTCTATGTATAACTTTTATTCATCCCACTCTCTTAATGTTAGAATTTTTGCAGAGGATGAAATGGTAGAGAAGTTTTAAAATGAATATGATTAGATTTTTTAAATTTAACATGCACATATACTTTAATACTCGATTTCAATGAAAAGGTGGGAATAGGGTAGAATGGAGAAAAATGTTGGGAAACATGGTGCAGAAGTAAGAAAAGAGAGAGGTCAAAGGCTTCGAAGTGTCAAACCTACTTATCATTAATATATTTTCTTTGAGGAAAGAGTCCAAGTAATAATTAATTAACATCACCAAAAATGAAATTTATTATATTTTAACAGATAGGAAATGGTGGGTTAATAATCACCCAATTCTGTACAGTTGGACACCCAGCTTGTTAGAGTAAAGCTCAAAGTCAATACTGAATAAGAGTAAAGAAAAATGAAGAAGATACAGTGAGCAATTAAGGCAATCACAACTTGATTTAAATAAGCTGTGGATGATGAAAATGGGGAAATGGATCACACAGTAGACACAAAGGCTATTATTAACATTTGCCAAGGAAATCTGCCTGATATAAATTAAGCACAAGGAAAAACTGCAAAGAGTCTGCTCATTAACCACCTGGCTGGCCACACCAGAAACCAAGCCCTGGAGGAACTTCTGCCTTGGAGCCTTCTTTTATGATTTGTGAACCTGCCCTGCCAGAACACTATTTCAGGAAAGAGTTTTCTTGAAACACCTTCCACCTTTGGCTATCTCTTCCACAGCCTTCTAACCAGGGCTGGAATATCTTCCTCCCCTATCAAGTTCTGTAATCATGAATGAAGATCCGGCCGACACTGTCAACTGAGCCAAATCATTCTAAAGGCATTTAGGAAGAAACTAGGAGGACAACAAACATGCAAAAAAATGAAACAACATGTAAAGCTTGATAAAGGAACCTCTTTCCCACTAAGTGATAGCAGGGCCACTACATTTAGACTCTTATCATAGTCCCCAATGTACTAAATGAGGAAGTAGAAATGGCACTAGAGAAAACAATGAGGAAAAAACCACTGGACTAGATCAAGCATACAAAATTATTATATTATATATAATTATTTAAATAATAGCAGCTGTCTATTTATTATTATATTATAGCTGTCTATTTTAGGTTTTTCTTTTGTTTGTTTTCTATGCATTGCTCAGGTTCTGTCTACGACTACCATTTTCTCTGTCTTGTCTTTTTTTTCTGCAGTTGTAGTAATTTCTCATCTACTTGAGTGCTCTACTCTCTTTGGGTCAATCACTTCCCAATTATCTGATTGGATCTCTTCTTGCTTTTCCTATTTTTATATTGGGGCAGCAGTTGGGAAATGAGCCATACCATAACATGCAATCTTATTTGAGGTTAGGAGAAAAGCTATTGGCTGTGATGTGGAGCAATTCACATAAGACTACTACAGACCATTAGGTGATGGTCAATTAACTAGAATTTATCAAGCGCCCAATATGTACTCAGGACAAAAGGATAGAAGACAGAGTACTCTGCTTTATAAACTTATTATGGAGATAAGTCTTCAATATATGAAATAATCAGGAAACAATAAAGTATGTGCAGTAGGAATTCAGAAAGGTGAGATGGAGTATGAGGGAAAGTTCTACAGGAGGAAGGACTTGTTCTAGATCTTGAAGGATATTTAGAAGATAGTTATGCACATCTTAGGAAGGAAAAATAGCATAAACAGATATAGTAGAAAGAGGAGGAAGAGTCTAAAATGATTCCAAGGTATCAAGCTAGAAGGATAAGGAGAATGATACTTCCAACAATAATGAAACTGGGAATACAATTGTATGTAGTCCAACCTTGCTCTTGGATAAAGCAAGTGTAAAATAAGGGGCAATAATCTGGATAATTCAGGAATTTACCCAGTCTTATCCATGCCCCCATCCAAAAGACTAAGCTTTGAATTCACTTGCAGAAAGATCTCAAAAGATCTGTAGATAGATAATAGATATTCTTTAGTCCATATGAAATAATCAAATTCTATTTGGTTTATTCCCAGCAGAAAAAAATCAACATGCTATTGTAGTTACACAAAATGATATGGATGAAAAGTTATGTAGGAAATTAGGTTAGGCCTAAAAAGAAAATGAATTGTATGTAGGTCAGCAAGATTCTGAGTCTTAATTGAAAAACACAAATCACCTACTAGGTAATTCATAAACTGTCCTCACCCCAAAGATGATAGTTACCACTTTATCAAGCAGTGAATTTGTTCACATCTGGAAGTATCATATCATGGAGATGATGTATTTGGTAGTGAATAAAGGTTAATTTTCCGGGTCAGATAAAATTTTTTGTGGCAGGCAACTTTTTGGAAATTATTTGTAAGTCTATAAATGAAAAAGTAAAATCTTAGTGTAGATATTATCCTGAGAAATCCATTTGATTGAAGTAGCCAATCCAGCAATCCCTGTATTTAATGCATGCTACAGTCTCTCTTGGGCTTTCCAATTCCTTTGACTAAAAGGCCTCTAAACCAATTAAATATGATTTTTTTCCCCTAGCAATTACAATGCAGCATAACCACAGGGGGCTGAGAGATAATACTGGTAAACTGAATTCCTATAGTAACTCTATCCTTAGCAAAGATACACTACTTAAAAAGAGTTTAATACTGTGGTACACCTTTCCTCCCACCCTCTGCCCCCATTCTGCAACATGACATGTGGATTTCATGACCAAACATGAACATTTTATTTGCTTTAAAAACCAAAGGGATGATGATGGTAAGGCCAGAAACTGTTCTGCCCCCTTTTATTGGGAGAGGGCAGTACATAAGGAAGAATCCATGATATTGCACTTCATTGATAACTGTAAAAGTAGATATGCATCTCTTATTTGAGAAGTAATATGAGGTTACCTTCTAGATTTTCCTCCACTACTAGAAGTGTAATTGCTACCATTTTCATGAAAATGAAAATTCATACTAGAAATTATATTTCTAGTAATGGAGGAAAACCTAGAAGGTAATTTCACATTACTTTTCAAATAAGAGGTGCATATTTACTTTTACAGTTATCAATGAAGTGCAATCCAGAAGTGTTTGATTTGAGCACTTGAAGGGTCTTACTTAAAATATGTCTCCATCTATTAGATAGCTGTCTTTCTTCATTATTAAGCTTTTCATAATGGATGTTTTTGTGATCACCACATTTTACTGGGCAAAAAAAGTTTAATATAATTCTTCATCATAGTATGGAGGTGACTCTGGGCTCCTAAAGGTTATGCCAATGTAGGAAAAGCCCTGGCAGGTTCTACCAAGCTGGAAAGGCTCTAAGCTCAGGGCCCATGACAGACTAAATATCTTTTGTACAAGGATCAGATTAGTTAAAGGATGAGCATCTATTCACTTGTACCTGTAGTACACTGGAAGACTACGGAATCTAACACGAGGTCTACTTCACTGTCAATGCTTATTTATAAGATGATATATATAAGACTATTTTATTTCTGAAAATAGTCACTTGCTTAAGGCAAGTATCAGTCTCATCAAAAGTACAGCTATTCCTACCACTGATTCTAGGGATTGAAAAAAAACAAACAATTCCTCTCTCCCATTACCCCCACCCCAAAAGTGGTAAACTGTAGTAGCAGGTTCATTTTATCTTTTGCTCTAGCAAAGTGGTCAAAAAAAATTTTTTTGAGAAGTAACTTCCAATGAAAATGAA